ATTATAGTAATGTAATGGTGCCAGTTTGTGATGTTAGTGATCCCTATTATTATAGTAATGTAATGGTGCCAGTTTGTGACGTGAGTGATCCCTATTATTAGAGTAATGTTATGATGCCAGTTTATGATGTTAGTGTTCCCTATTATTATAGTAATGTAATGATGCCAGTTTGTGATGTTAGTGATCCCTATTATTATAGTAATGTAATGGTGCCAGTTTGTGACGTGAGTGATCCCTATTATTAGAGTAATGTTATGATGACAGTTTGTGATGTTAGTGATCTCTATTATTATAGTAATGTAATGATGTTGGTGATCTCTATTATTATAGTAATGTAATGATGCCAGTTTGTGACGTTAGTGATCCCTATTATTAGAGTAATGTTATGATGCCAGTTTATGATGTTAGTGTTCGCTATTATTATAGTAATGTAATGATGCCAGTTTGTGATGTTAGTGATCTCCATTATTATAGTAATGTAGTGATGTTAGTGATCTCTATTATTATAGTAATGTACTGATGTTAGTGATCTCTATTATTATAGTAATGTACTGATGTTAGTGATCTCTATTATTATAGTAATGTAATGACGTTAGTGATCTCTATTATTATAGTAATGTAATGATGCGAGTTTGTGATGTTAGTGATCTCTATTATTACAGTAATGTAATGCTGCCAGTTTGTGATGTTAGTGCTCCCTATTATTATAGTTATGTAATGATGCCAGTTTGTGATGTTAGTGATCTCCATTATTATAGTAATGTAATGATGCCAGTTTGTGATGTTAGTGTTCCCTATTATTATAGTAATGTAATGATGCGAGTTTGTGATGTTAGTGATCTCTATTATTACAGTAATGTAATGCTGCCAGTTTGTGATGTTAGTGCTCCCTATTATTATAGTTATGTAATGATGCCAGTTTGTGATGTTAGTGATCTCCATTATTATAGTAATGTAATGATGCCAGTTTGTGACGTTAGTGATCCCTATGATTATAGTAATGTAATGATGCCAGTTTGTGATGTTAATGATCCCTATTATTATATTAATGTAATTATCCCAGTTTGTGATGTTGGTAATACCTATTATTATAGTAATGTAATGGTGCCAGTTTGTGACGTTAGTGATCCCTATTATTAGAGTAATGTTATGATGCCAGTTTGTGATGTTAGGGATCTCTATTATTATAGTAATGTAATGATGTTAGTGATCTCTATTATTATAGTAATGTAATGATGCGAGTTCGTGACGTTAGTGATCCCTATTATTATAGTAATGTAATGATGCCAGTTGCATTTCATCAGGTACTTGGATAGCTACACCAAAACGGGAGCCACCTACTTTTCTTTTAGAAGACACGCTCCCATTATGTTTTTGAGTACATGTGACCCCAAACAGGGTCTCCTTTACGTTTACTGTCGTTAAAGCGGAAATATAACAACACCGACAGAATTAAGAAGAAATTAAAAAAAAATAAGTTAGTCACCGAATTGAACAAATTAAAGTTCTTAGAGCTTTAAACTATTTTTACAATAAAACATTATTTTTAAAGCAGACACATTGATCAATGAAGCACCGTGTCTGAAATGTGTTTCAAGGCGTTTAGCACATCCGGTGATGTCTAATACCTGACCCGGACACTTTACCGAGACATACTTCCGCCATTTTGTCTGCAACAGCACAAATGGGGAATATGTTGTACAACCATACTGCAGGTGCAGTGTGCTTTGATCATGTACGTGAGGTCAAGCACAACAAATAACGCAGCTTTGTAACAAATAATGTATTTGATCATTTTAAATGTAATATTGCGGTTTTCGATATACTGATATCATGCTAGCATTAACAACAAAAAGTAAAAATCAAGTTATTGGCAAAGTTGTCCTTTTTTACTTGTATATTTTCTTTTCCTCTGTGTCTCCTTTAAAAATACTATATATTATCCCCCTTATGTCCCCCAGCAGTGCATTTTAGGAATGAAGCTTCAACAATAAGATTTTCGGTGATCACGAGGAATGATTAGGGTTTCGCATTAAGTCTGGCTAGGATCAGTTACACGCTCGGACGGACACAGGTAACTTACAAACCATTCTCATCACATAATAGTATATTGCTTATATTACATTGAAATATTAACATTCTATAATATTCATATTATTTCTGCTTATTAAGAGACCAGTCCTGCTTGGTAATATATTGTACTTACATATTCTTGTTGTGCATCAACATTTTAAGTCGTAATCTTATATTTCATGCTTAGAGACGTAAGTTCTCCATTCTCCCTATTCTTTTCTCACGGAAATACACACGCTTAGAGAGAATACTTTTGGTTGTAGTTTGGGAGTATAAGGTAATGAAATGCCTTGATAATTGTTCGTCTGTAGTTAATGCTGATTTATGACCTACAACTTAATTAAAACTAATTATTGGCCTCCTTATCCTATTTCCGCGTCACGATTACAACATTACTCTTTTTCTAACATAGAGTTGAATTGACGTATTGTTACATGTAAATGGCATGAACTAGACATTAGAAAATATTCTGTATGCCTTTCACGTGCTAGGGGAGCATATTGTCAGTGATAATAGTTTTAAACACTTAGTAAATAAATGGATACTGCGGTCTATCTCAGTGTATCGTAATAATGATACGGTTTTAGCAGCTTTTAATCTTCAGTAGCTGTTATGGTTGAAGAAATTGTACACGATGTCTGGCTCTATGCTTTTAGCACTAACAGATACAACTTTATTACTCTGACTGTTCTTAGGTTATTCATACAACTGCCTCCAATAACTCTTCTGAAGGCTGTTACAATTGGCGATAACGTTGATGACAAAGACATTTAATTTTTTATATTGGAACTTATGGCACCCTCTGAAATTTTCACTCAATTATTTTAATTTCACGAAATTCATAAAACTGCTGCACCATCAAATTTTGGTACTATCAAACTAAGCTCCAATCTATTGTTCAATATTTTGAATGAATCAACATTTGGAAAATGACTGATAAAAAAACACTGGGTGTACTTTAACGGAAGTTGGTATGGGTGTTTATTGGCAGCAAGCAGAGTGCAGTAAATCACGATTTTCCTATTCCCAATAAAACATGGCCGTTATAACGTTTTCGATTTTCTGAAACTTATTCAGAGTTTCCGTTAAGATTATGACATTCAATATTTTGTTCTGCTGGACGGATTTAAAGAACAATCATCCTTTATATTTTCATGGTGAATTCTGGGTTAATTTGACATGTCTCATTTCCGATTAGTCAACCAATATGGCCACCATGGTTGAAGATGGCCGCCGTACGATTATTGGCCGAAATTTACGTATTGTACAATTTTACACAAATGGTTTGTCAGTGTTTTATAAGAATATGAATGCTGCCCTGACATACATTTACAGATTGGACAAAATGACCGCCGTTCTGTATTGCTCATGTGCAATACGGAATGTTGTATTTCCCAACTCTCCGGAACTACTTTTTATGGGAAACCCCTTGTCATGACGAACTGAAAAGTTCCCGGTATTTGCAAAAAATATCAAAGTTTATAAAATCTTTGTATCAATCTCTACCAAATACGGAAGGTATGTGATAAAAGCAAGACCACACACTTGTATTTTTCTATCAAATCAGAAAGCACTCATTTATTGCGCGGACGTATATATTCACTCGTATGCTCCGCACACTCGTGAATATATTCGTCCGCACAGTATATGTATTACAGCATTGCTATCTTTTTCCTGATACATCATTGGGACTATGATGGCCGTTAACAGGACTTTTGTTATGGTCACCATTATAATAAGAACTTGCTGATATTGAGATTCCCTGGAATTAAAGGATATCATTATTGATGACCATTTATATTTTATTGACTGGAGTAAAAGTATTAATATGTTTTACAAGAATGAAGTACGAGTAAAGACTATGACATGTTTTCAACTGTGAAGTACTAACTAATCGTGGGATATGTTTAATCGCAGTTTCATGGTTACAAATACACAACATTCGCGGTCAGGAGGAAGTGTTACTTGTTCAGTTCAGTTGGTATTTTAAATAAAACAACCCTAATTGGATTCCACAGTATATCTGATCATGTAAGTCTTTACAGGTATGACGTCTTCTGCATGGCTCAGGAATATTGCCGTCATTGTTTTGATTGGATGTTGTTCCTGCAAGGTCGTATTGATCACAGGTAAACTTGTTACATCAACACATACACAAAACCAACTTTATTGGATATTCAATTTTCATAAACATTTCAATAACAAAAAAGGAGTAAAACATTTCAGGAGTGTCTGGTTAAATAAAACACTTCCGGAATATCTGGTTAGGTAAAACACTTCCGGAATATCTGGTTACGACAATATCTGGTTAAGACTCCATGTTCATGATAAAGCGGCACATTATGTCATTTTCTATTTATTTTATTTTGAAGTCTTCTCAGTTACTTCTGTTGCCTCTGTTTATTGGCTTTGGATTATATGTTTGTCCTTCTTAACTTTATCTCCAAGTAGTTTATGTTGCAGAAAAAATGTACTAGTATGATCACGCTGTCTCTTGTGTTTACTAGACCATCGAAATGGAATGAGAGAAAAAGGCCGCCAAAAAGAAGTCTTCTCAAAACAACGCCAGTCTAAGGTATGGATGCCTGCGAGTCTTCGTTCCCGTGCTGATATTTCAGAACTGGGTTTAATAGGACGCGGTACAAATGGCCAGATCTTCGGAACCCTTCTTTCTGACACCAATGACGGCCCATCTGCTCCACAGCAGAGTATTGAGAACTTTATCGACAGCTTCAGTACCCTTTTCCGCCCAACACCTTTACAACAATCTAGCATACCGAACACAGGGGACAACGCCGTTGCTGGGGGTGATATTAACTTCAGGCAAGGCGAAATTACTTCGCCACGCTCTGGCGCAAGTAACATCGTTTCTACGGCCAACACGGTCAGTATGGCAAGAGCATTTCCTGGTCAAAGAGGGTTTTCTGCTCTCTCAACTGATTTTATGAATGGCACACATGTACGGATTGCAGGGATGATGCCTTCCCTTGGTCTCAGTGGGACAGCCAACACAATGCCCGACACGATTGGTTTCGATGACACCAGGTCAACAACAGCCTTATTAGGACAAAGAGACGGATTTGCTGATGATGGTTCATTATTTGACGTCACTCAAGGTCAGGATGTAGGCGGACCTGTAGCAACCGGTGGAAATGATGACACATTTATTAGCAATCAAGGGGTGAGAATGACTACTGGAATATCTTTGGGACAAAGTCGCCCTTCTCTACGTATCGGAGATGACATGCGTTTTAGCCGGGTCCAAGATTTCGGCGAGATGACTGAACAACGCGACAGCAGTTCTGGCATGCGAGGTAGCAGCATAGATGACATAAATTCGTTGTTCAACGCTAGAATAGATGGTTCAACAGGACCAATTACTGGACAAAATGGTGACATTGTCTCAGAAGATGTCGGTGTTGGTTTATCTACTCGCAACCAAGACAGACCCACCCAGGTGTCAACACTTCGTACTGATGATACCAACGTAGGAAGTGTGAGCGCTTCATCTCTTGGGAACAGTCTTATTTCTAATCTCCTTTCTAGAATTTTCAGTACCCCTTCTATGAACAATGATGAGTCGCTAACCGAAATTGGAAATGCCCTTGATAGTATGGCTGCTTCTGAAAGTGATGTTGGTGGAGCTCAACTGCTAACCCAAACGGCAAATAACGGAATCACGGACAGTGCTCAGATAACGACAGGTGGTCAAAGAGGAGCGACGGTAGGTTTTACCAAATTTGAAGGTGCAAATACTGATGTGCTGATTGGCTCAAAAGGTATGAGGGCATTCTCCCAAAAAAGTGAATTTCAAAACGCCCAGGATGACAGAACGAAGCTAAATAACCAATTAGCAAGAAGCCAGCGCATTGACGATGGAAATATAGGCCAAACTGCAAAAAAAGTAATGCTGTCAGGTAACCAACCTCAAGCTAGGAAACTGCCCGGCAAGCCTTTAGGCAAAGGTAGTAGATTAGATTCTAGGAAAGGCAGCCGCATGATGTTTCCATCGAAGACCCGCCTCTCTAGTAATACAGCAAAATCTCGAAAAATAATTGGCAGAAAACTCAAGACTGATACTGTTGATTCTAGGGACATTGACTCGACAAGAACACAATTCAAATCCCGTGGTCCTTACATGGTGTTCCAAACAAGCAAGCCATCTAACGTTAAACCTGGTGGCTCAATCAGTTCACCTGGCGTCCCATCTACTGCATTTATACCAAGTAGTGCTAATAGCTCACTCAGACGAATACGACCTTCGTTCAGTGGAGCAACAGGCAGGCGTAATCTAGTTTCTGGAAATCAAGCTAGGAGAACAGCCAGCCAAACTCCTCCATTAGTCACTGCGTCTCAATTTCGTACTGGTGGATCTGGCAATGACGATAGATCGAGAATGTTAGGTGCTTCAGGATCCAACCCAAACTTCTCTCAATCGGGAATTCCAAGAAATAGTTTGAGACAAAACCAAGGAAATACAGCAAGTGTTTCATCTGGTGCTTCAAGTGCTCAGATTGGAAATGCCCAAAGCTCCAACAGAAGGGGTGCGGCCAGCATCTCTTCATTGTCAGGTAGTGACAGAAGACCGTCAATTCCAGTTAGAGTATTTATGATTCTTCCAAACAGTGCGAGTGGATCGAGCACTGGACCGTCTGGAGTGACATTTAATCCCTCTGCCATTGGGAAATCAAGAACGAAACAGACCCACAGGTTTAAAGCAAATCTTGAGTCTCCCTTCGCGTTACCCAGCGTCTCAATGGGAAGTACTTCCAATTTTGGCGGGTCGGGCTTACCTGTTAGAGGTAGTGTTATACCGAGCGGCAGGTCGTTACCCACGTCGTTCGGAAGGGGAGGTAGTATTAGAAGTACTGGTTCCTTTTCTCGAAGGCTTCCAGTAGGCGGAAATGGAAGAATCGGGACCAACTTTGGTCCGAATCGGTTCATATCTGGTGTACAAAAGGGGACATTTCAAGGCCGCATGAATACCTCAGCAGGTGAGTATTTGCAGCTACACCATCATTATAAGCATGGTTATTTGCATTCACATTTGAGCTTGTTTCGCCATTTTCAGCAATAACCTTATCAAATCACTTGTAGGAATGTATTTTTGCTCCGTTCTGGTGAACTTGTATGTGTATTAACAAAGAACCATCCCATACACAACCAGTAACAATAGAATGTCCTTAACACAAACATAAACCACACAACCAGTAACAATAGAATGTCCTTTACACAAACATAAACCACACAACCAGTAACAATAGAATATCCTTAACACAAACATAAACTACACAAACAGTAACAATAGAATGTCCTTAACACAAACATAAACCACACAACCAGTAACAATAGAATGTCCTTTACACAAACATAAACCACACAACCAGTAACAATAGAATATCCTTAACACAAACATAAACTCCACAAACAGTAACAATAGAATGTCCTTAACACAAACATAAACTACACAACCAGTAACAATAAAATGTCCTTTACACAAACATAAACTATACAACCAGTAACAATAGAATGTCCTTTACACAAACATAAACCACACAACCAGTAACAATAGAATGTCCTTTACACAAACATAAACTCCACAACCAGTAACAATAGAATGTCCATACACAAACATAAACTACACAAACAGTAACAATAGAATGTCCTTT